ACTTTTCCATAAGTATATCTCCTTGACGGCAGGACAGTATACACTGACAGCGTCCCCATGACGAGGAATTCGTAATTCATACAGAAGAAAAGTTTTCGTTCACTCTATAACAACACATTGGCGACCAGAATCCGAAATTCATACGAAAAAAAAATTTTTTTCTGTTGTTTTTTCTTCATATTTTCTGTAAAAATTTGAAAAATAAATAAAGAAAACATTTTACTCCTGCGGAGTAAAGTTTTAGGGGACGGATGTCATACCTGAACGTACCTATTCTATTATTAATAGACCCTCCCACACATAATAAGTAGTAGTACTAGTAGCAGTCACCAGTTGAGCTCAGTGGTGTTGAGTGAATCAGTCGATGTCGGACATTGAAGTATCAACCATCACAACTAGATTGCTGCGTCATTAACTCTTATTTCAAGTTCCTAACGTTTTGTACGTCGGACGCTTTTTAGGACCGACTTAGCGAAATACAAGCCTCCACTGTGAAAACTACTCTACAACACCCCTACAAAGAGGTAAGACACTCACTAAAAGGGACCACCATTCCGGTGTATAATAGCAAATTCATAAACCCAACTTATATCTACTATTATTAATATAGGCCAGACCTTTGTCTACCTTTTTGAATCTCGTGTAAATCAAACCAATGTCTGCCTTTTTTTAGTCTAGTATAAATCTATGTCCACCTTTTGTACACTAAACCGGAAATATGTCTATTTTTTTTTAATCTAAAGCCGACATGTAACGACCTATTTAACTCTAAAGCCGATCAGTGTCGACTCTGACATTAAACCTGTCCTGTGTCGACCTAAATCCGACCTCTTTGACTCCAAAGCTGACATTTGTCGACCTATTTGACTCTAAAGCCGACCTGTGTTGACCCTGACTTCAAAGCCCATCTGTGTCGACTTCTTTTGTCTCTAAAACCGACCTGTGTCGACCTCTTTGACTAAAGCCGACCTCATTGACTCCAAAGCCGACCTAGGTCAACCAGTTTCCCTCTAAAGCCGACCTGTGTCGGCCTCTGATTCGAGTGCAAATATTACCTATGTCTACCTTTCTTATTCGTCTTGATTTTCATCCTATATAACTTATATTCGACATTAAATAACCGACAAGCGTTAACCAACCTAATGGTAAGTTCTATAAATTTATTGCAACAATATAAAAACACTGATGTTGTGTTCCTACTAATTGGCATTTAACTCTTTTGGAGAATAAATATCGTGAACTTTTGCTATTTCCTTTGAAGTGTAAATTAAAATAAAAGGAACTTGTTGTGGGAAAAATCTCCAGATTATTGTCTGGTATTCAAAAGACCTATTCTGCTCAGAAATGTGTTTTGTTTGAACTTGAGGAATTATGTAAAGAGTAATGTGTACCAACCATGAAGAAAACCTTTTTTTCCCCCAGACCAATATGTATTAGTTTAAACCAAACGGTCACTCAACCTACATTTTTATCAGACGAACTACAGTTTCCACGCTCTTTCATTCCATTGTGTCAGTAGTGGTAATGCTACTGGACAGACAGGCGTGTTGTCTGGTGTGTTTGTAGACAAAGGAATTGACAAGGCAGTCACGGGTCTGCCGAGAAAGCAAGCAAGTACTAACAAGGTTGAGTGTTTCAGTGCGTTAGCAGACACATATGCATATTTGTAGGGTAAGTAAGAGGAAGAGGAGAAATAGGAAAAAAGAAAAAAGCAGATGAAAATGTGATGAGTCAAGGATGGAGTAGACGACACTGTGAAAGTAGGAGTTGGGGATACCATTGTACAGTGGCTTACTGGTAGATTTCTGCCGCATTGCAAGGACTGGAGGTGGCGGGTGGGAAGTGTGTTTTGAAAAATCTTTCAGTTTCCTCAGACAACATATGCACCAACTTGTCTCATTCTCTGATTATTTTCTCTCTCTCTCTCTCTCTCTCTCTCTCTATATATATATATATATATATATATATATATATATATATATATATATATATATATATATATATATATATATATATATATCCTCCTTTGTCCCTCCCTCTCTCCATCGCTCTCTCTCTCTCTCTCTCTCTCTATATATATATATATATATATATATATATATATATATATAAATTCTCTCTCTTTCTTTATATATATCATCCTCTCTCTTCATATATATATATATATATATATATATATATATATATATCTCTCTCTCTATATATATATCATTCTCTCTCTGTCATTCTCTCTCTCTCTCTCTATATATATATATATATATATCATTCTATCTCTCTGTCTCTCGCTCTTTCTTACACCATATATATAACATTCTCTCACTCTCTATCTCTCTCTATATATATATCTTTCACTCTCTCATATATATCATTCGCTCTCTCTCTCTCTCTCTCTATATATATATATATATATATATATCATTCTCTCTATATATATATCATTCTCTCAGTGTCACTCACTCTCTCTTTCTCTCTCTCTCTCTATATATATATATATCATTCTATCTCTCTCTCTTTCTCTCTGTCCCTCTCTCTCTATATATATATATATCATTATTTCTCTATCTCTCGCTCTTTCTTACACTATATATATATATATATATATATATATATATATATATATATAATTCTCTCTCTCTCTCTCTCTCTCTATATATATATATATATATATATATATATATATATATATAAGGGTTCTATTTCACTCTTAATTCTTCTACAGTTCCATTTCTCTCTCTCCACATTTATATATACATATTTTTTCTCACTCTCGCTATCTCCCATTTGCTCTCTCTCCCATTCATGTGTCTGTATTTGTATGGATAAACCTCCGTCGCTATCCTATTCACGCTCATTAAATACAGTGCGCTATATTTCACCCATTTATCTATATTGCTTTTTTCCCCCCTATATCTCACCATCAATACTTTTTTTCATTTCGCCTTTCCATGATATTTAAGGGCTGAGGAGAACAGTAACAGAATTGGTAAAATATTGAACAAGAAAAAAAGAATACAGCAATAGTGATATATGCAAAGACGTAAACGAATGAGAATATTTCTTTGGCGATTTATTATATATATATATATATATATATATATATATATATATATATATATATATTAAAAAATTTCTCCGATTTAACCAGTAGAAAAACAATATTTATGAATAAAAATAGCAATTACCAGTTTTCCTATATAAATATTTTATATTATATATATATATATATATATATATATATATATAATTATTTATTTAAAAATTATAACATAAATGTTATAAAATCACTAAAAAATAGCCATTTTGTTTCAACACCTCTGGTGTCTTATCAAGTGATGATGTCGAATGTAGATTGTATATATATATATATATATATATATATATATATATATATATATATGTATGTATGTATGTATGTATGTGTGTGTGTATTTCAATTAAAAGGCGCAAATTATAATTTATAAATTCATGAATCGTTTCATACAAAAAACAAATCATTAACGTCTATATTTGTCTTTTGTATGAATGATTCATAATTTATATATATATATATATATATATATATATATATATATATATATATATATTTATTTATGAAAAACTAGGTAATCCTTATGGGTAAACTTATGGAGGATAAAAAATCCAGAGAGCTCAATGTAAATCCAGAGCAAATAATTTAAATAAAAAGACCACTTTAGGTTCCATGTAATAAATTATTTCACCACAGCCCTTTTAAAGGACTGCGGATCATCAGACTTTATTTCCAAGTCTGATGATCCGCAGTCCTTTAAAAGGGCTGTGGAAATAATTTATTACATGGAACCTTAAAGTGGTCTGTTTTTATTTAATATATATATATATATATATATATATATATATATATATATATATATATATATATATATATATATATATATATCTTTATTAATTATACATCTATCTATCAAATCAGTTATTTATCTATCATACATCTACCCATCTTCTCCATCCATCTGTCTATCATACTAAAAAAAAGTTAGAGAGCGAGAAAATTTGCCATGTGTCCTTGAGTCCGAATAATGTAAATAGTGTACATAACACCTCATCTCAGAAATACAGACAGACATTCACAGAAAAAGTTTTGTGCATCTTTTTTTTTTTACAGTACAACTGAATGAATTGAATTGGTATAGGTCAAACGCAAAATGCGTCTACATATGTGCTGATGTATATATGATAGATCTACATTGTTTTCAGTGTGTGTATGAATTGTAGTGGTCGAACTCATGAAAAAAAGCGGGGGAAGGCTAAATGTGGCTGTTAAGGCATGTAAACAAACTTAGCGGAATGCCGTTGCTATCTCCTGACGTAATTTTTGCAATATTGTATACTCAAATAAATATGCGAAAGGTGTGAGTAATTAACTGTGAGAATTTCAGTTTCGTTTGTGTGACAAACGATCGATCAGATACCCTGGTCAAAGGTTCACTGAAAGACTAGTTAGCGAACCAGAATTGATCATATTTATAACAACATAGCAGGCTTCAGGTGAATCTAAAATTTAGATTTATTAATCGCAAGCGTATTGGCTAATATATATATATATATATATATATATATATATATATATATATATATATATATATATATATATATATATATATATATATATATAAATATTCCTTTTAAGAAAGAAAAATATTGTTGAACATATTCTGAAGTTTTGCCTACAAAATTTAATTTGATTCTAAGATATTTTACCGTCTGCTAATTCAAAGATTACCGCGCGTTTCGTACGACGTCACTGATTGGTTAATATATATGAATACAAAGATTCAAATAAACAAAGTCGGCCAATATACAAAAAAATGAGTTTCCAGTAACAGTACTTAATTCAATTTTTCTACAATTCTGAAACGAGGCTCCACACATATATCCATCTTACATCTATTTATCTCCACCATCCATATATAAAATATATATCCATCTTACACCTATTTTCTCCATCTATTATACATCCACTTATGTTCATTTATAATTTCCATCCATCTTATACATATATTTTCTCCAAATATCTATCTATCTATCTATCTATCTATCTATCTATCTATCTATCTATCTATCTATCTCAGACTGTTAATTATCTATCTATATAGCTATTAAACATTTATGTATTATACATCTATCGATCGATCTATTTATCTAGCATATATCTATCTAACGACCTATCCCACATCTATCTATCGATATATCTATCTAGCTATCTATTATACATCTATCTATCGATCTATTTATCTATCTATTATACATCTATCTCGACCTATCTAGCTATCGATGTATTTATCTATTTATCGATCTATTTATCTATGTATCCACGATCTATTTATCTATCTATTATACATCGATCTATCGATCTATCTAGCTATCTATTATACATCTATCTATCGATCTATTTATCTATCTATCGATCTATTTATCGATATATCTATTGATATATTTATCTATCTATTATACAACTGTCTGTCAATCTATCAATTATACATTTAGCTATTATACATCTATCTATTGATCTATCTATCTATAATACATATATCTATCTATCTATAATACATATATCTATCGATCTATTATACATCTATCTATCGATCTATCTAGCTATCTATTATACATATATCTATCGATCTATTTATCTATCTATCGATCTATTTATCTATGTATCTATCAATCTATTTATCTATCTATTATACATCTATCTATCGATCTAACTATCTATTATACATCTATCTATCGATCTATCTATCATACATTTATCTTTAGATCTATGTATTATACATCGATACATCTGTCTATTATACATCTATCGCGATCTATCTAGCTATCTATTATCTATCTATCTATCTATCTATCTATATATATATATATATATATATATATTATAGATCTATCTATTTATTACGTCTCTATCTACCGATCTCTTTATCTATTATACAACTATTGATCTATCTATCTATCTATCTATCTCAGTGTATCTATTCTCTATCTATCGATCTATTTATTTATTATACATCTATCTATCGATCTATTTATCTATTATACATCTATCTTGACCAATCTAGCTATATATTATACATCTATCTATCGATCTATTTATCTATCGATCTATTTATCTATCTATTATAGATCTATCTATCGATCTATTTATCTATATATTATACATCTATTTATCGATCTATCTATATATCTATTATACATCTATCTATATATCTATTATACATCTATCTATCGATGTATCGATCTATTATACATCTATCTACCGATCTCTTTATTTATTATGCAACTATTGATCTATCGTTTATACATCTATCATACATTTATATGTAATACACTTATCTCTCTGCATATTTATTTATGTATTATACATCTATATATCGATCGAATTATCTATCTATTTATTATACATCTATTATATATCTATCTGTTATACATCTGTCTGTCTATTTATGGCTGGTCATTATCTAACCCAATCTGTCCATTTTCTAAGTGATTAATATCTACGACTTTTCATTATCTTTCTATCTCGACAGATATCGAAATTCTCGTTAAGTTCAGCCAGTATGTGTCTTTCTATCAATCCTAGTCTGATTACTTATCATAATGCAATGATTAGCGAGCAGGTACCCGGGGCTAGTGTAAATGCAATCGATATTCATTAACTAGTCCATAATCGTAGGCATGTTTCTGACTAAGCTGTGCTTGTTTCCTCCCCATGCCGCAATCAAACGCGATCTACTAATTTTTATTTATCCATTAATCAATTCACATGTATTCAGATACTTCAGCTTGTCACACAATAGTAACGTAAGTACACAATGCATACTCTACTCCATCTATTATACATCTATGTTGATCTATATTCTCCATCTATCTATCTATCTATCTATTATACATCTATCTATCGATCTATTTATGTTGAAGAAACACGCACACATAGGTATATATAGGAGGAGTGCTGAAAATTCTTTGGCCCAATCGAAGACTTTCAACTCAAAATTTGATTGTGTTGATTTGGGTGAGTGGCTGTAGGTGAAATCTTTTTAGCACCATCTTTCGCACACACAAACACACACACACACACACACACACACACACACATATATATATATATATATATATATATATATATATATATATATATATATATATATAGTCATCCACAGACAAACTGTTTCGCTGTATCACAGCTCTTCAGTTCGATTGCTTCAAGCCAGGGTCGAAACTCGACCGTTTTGGCCTCAGTTAGGGATCCTACCACTAAGCCGTCGGCAGAGAGAAAGTTTTTCCTGTATTTGGCACTCATCAGCAGTTCTCATCCACTAACGAGAAACACAGACACTTACTTTATCAGGCAAACGTCATACCAACTATACCAACGGGCCTCGGTGACGAAGAGTCCAATTCGATACCTCTTTGTCACCGAGGCCCGTTAATACAGTTGGTATGACGTTTGCCTGATAATTCTCGGTAGTGCATGCGCCCTACTGATGAGTCCCAAATATAGGGCAAAACGGCCGTCCAGTGCTTTCTGCATTCTGTTGAGGTTTCTTCTAGACTCGATGAATAATATATATATATATATATATATATATATATTGTTATGGTCGGGTACCTTGTACCACGGTGATAGTCCAAGGTAGCACCAATAGAGAAGAACTCGAACACGGATATGGAATAGCACAGATATATTACAAACAGGAATATATACAGAGAAGTAAATAGTGTTAGTACGAACAATCAGGTTTAGTAGGGAGAACAATGTAGTCTCGGCCAGTATCACTATTCCAATGTCTTGTAGTAATTGTCTGAACGCGACTCTGTTTCGGACTGCCTTTGACTCGATTGACTGACTCGCTCGCTCTGACTGACTTGCAGACACCTGACAGACCTCACTCCAGACTTCAGACTGAACGGTATTTAGTCACCCCCCCACGAGGGCATCATGTGGCACAAGGCCGGTTTAACGTGGTATCTCCGAGCCCGTTGGCTCGGCCAAAAATATGCCCTTTGAACCCGTATAAACGGGTTCACGGTCGGTTTACCTCCCCGAAAGAGACTCCGCCCTTTGGCGTAGCCTTGTTCGGGTTCCTCCCAGCCCGAAGGCAGAGAGTTCAACCGGTCAGCCGGTCGTCCGACTTCAGACTGAACTATGACTTCTACTTACTCCTTGCCTACTCCCGAGGCGCAGTATTTATTAAGTATGGAATAGTCCATTATTATTATTATTATTATTATTATTATTATGCGTAAGATCCCATAACAATTATTATTATTATTATTATTATTTAATCATTTCACCCCAAGCAATGCAATAAAATCACTAAGACGCAAGGGGGTTATTGAATGTGAGAGAATATGAGAAAAAGAAAAAAATAAGGAGAGTAATAAAAGAGGAATTGTGACAGACGATAACGGCTGACATTGGATTCAAATTTTAAAAGATCAAAGATAAAAATGAATTTACTTTTTAAGACTTTACAAAAATCGGGCCTTTTATGCCTACGTGACAGGAACAAAACATGGAGTGAAACAGCAGCGTTGTATAACCAAATATTTAAGCTTCTAAAACTTTCAAAAAACTCACATCCGGAATTTAAAGGCTGGAAGAGAGTTCCACACGTGAGAAGTGCGAGAGAAGAAACTGCTGGCATAGAACTTACGATTACATCTAGCCATTTCAACTAGAAAACGATGAGACCTATTCGCCAATCCAGTACTGCGCTTAAATTCATAGTCTGGGTACAATAGGCGAAAGTCTAGCTACCAAAGACGAAAGCTCATTAGAAAAATTGCCGTGAAAAATTTTAATGAAATGTTACCTACAAACTCTGTAACTAATGAACTTGGTAGGAATTAATCAAAAATACTTCAAAGACAGCTTATATTTATGTGTATGTGTTGGTATATATACATATATATGTAACGTACATTCATTACATTTTTTAAAAGTCGGCATACATGTACGCCCGTTTGTTTATACAAATATACCAAGATAGACTTAATTGTTTCCCTATCAGCATCAATAAATATGCAAACGAAACGAACGGGAAAATGTATTTTTGGTTAGTAAATAAGAAGAGAGATAATATGACAGAAGCCATGGGAATATCCAAAAATGTTTCTTATCAGCAAATATTTCTAGAAAGAAAGAAGGCGGAATAACCGAGAAACTCAAAAAATTTCTAAGTCATCTTTGATTGAACGTAACTAACGGACTTTGATTGCGTATTGCCTTCTGCGTCTCTTGTCGACAGTTGGAAAAAAATTGAAGAGGCGCTCGTATTTACAAACTGTAGCAAGTATCTTCCATGTTTTGCAATGTTATTGGCGAAAGTAAACGCAGTCTCAATTATTATCACTGTTTCCTGCGATCTCAACAGACTCAATTACTGCGCAGCTAGAAAAATAGAATGTATTTAAAGCATTTCATATCTCGAAAGAAAAAAAAAGAAAGGTAGGGTTTTTTTTTTATCTGAATAAGAAGGAAAGTTTTGAATTTATATAGCAGACGACTTCTTAATTCATTAAATCAAACAAATATTGAAGGTTTCGTTGATTACTATTGACCACATACTATAATGGAGTGTTGACGCCAATTAAGTCGCCATTTTTTTTAAATTCCGGACGTGAGATTTTGAAAGTTTTAGAAGTTTAAATATTTGGTTATACAACGCTGCTGTTTCACTCCATGTTTTCTTCCTGTCACGTAGGCATAAAAAGCTAGATTTTTGTAAAGTCTTCAAAAGTAAATTCATTTCATATTTATGGTTCCGTTCTTTTCAGTTTGTATGAATACGGTGTAAATTTTATTTTATTAAATTTTCTTATGCCTCTCCTAAGAATCGCTTGTTTTGGTAAACTGAACTTCAAAAAGTGGATATGATAAATTTTATAAACAAATTGGGCCAGATGACATTATAAAGCAATAAAATATAAGATATAACATATAACATATATAATCATTATATCGCAATAAGATATAACATATAACATATATATGATATAAATAACATATAATCATTATATAGCAATGTTATAACATAAAATATAACATATGATATAACATTATATATGACATATATAACATATAATCATTATATAGCAATAAGATATAACATATAACATATTATATATGACATATTATATATAACATATAGCATTATACATGACATATATAACATATAATCATTATATAGCAATAAGATATAAGATATAACATATTATATATGACATAGAGAACATATAATCATTATATAGCAATCAGATATAACATATAAGATATAACATATTATATATGACATTATATATAACATATTATATATAGTATTATACATGACATATATATATAACATATAATCATTATAAAGATATAAGATATAACACATAATATATGACATAGATAACATATAATCATTATATAGCAATCAGATATAAGACATAACATATTATATATGACATATTATATATGACATATTATATATGACATATTATATATAGCATTATATATGACATATATAACATATAATCATTATATAGCAATAAGATATAACATATTTTGTTCAAATCCTGAGAGTTTCTGTGTAGACCATATAAACATATAATCTGTGGGGCACCTCAAGGCGGTGTAATGGTTAGCAAGCTTGGCTCGCTAGAACAATTACGACTGAATAGTGAGTTCGATCCTCACTGAGTGCCCCATAATTTCGGCCTTGTGCCACATCTAAGGTACGCTTGGAAAATCACTATAAACATATAATGTGACCTTTGTCATAACGCGATATTTAAGGTCCATAAAATATCATCATCAGAAAAAAAAAAACAGATTATACTTACTTTTTCGTATAGAGGTATTTACCCTGTACAAGGCCCGGGATCCACTCGAAGTAGAGGCACAGCTTATGTGGATATGGGTGGAAGATAACGGTTAACGAAGACTTGAACAAGTTAAGATTGTAGGGATCGTAGAAGCAACATATTGGGAGTTGGTTCCACAAACCAATGATCCGTGGAAAAAGACAGTTTGAGTGGAGCTTAAATCTCAACAAGGGGAATATGAAAGGAATTAAGGTATTTCGCTACGATATGCGTGGCATGGTGAATCTTAGCCGTGAAGGCTAGGACCGGTG